ATGCGGGTGAGCAACTGCGGCCGGATTTCGCATTTTCTTCTTTCCAAATCAATGCTTCGACTCCATCTTTTCGCGTCTCTTCACTTCTTGATAGATATGATTGCGAAACACTTTAAGACTGAACTCTCGATACTCGGGTCTCAACTGGTATATTGCTTTTGGCTCTATTTTCGTGCCAGTCTCTGGGTCAATTGACAAATGAACCCCATTGTCGATATCTTCTTGAAGGAGCGTCTTAGCTTCAGATGTGTGCCACGATCTCTTGATAGGAGGGTTATCCTTTCGTTGCTCCAACAACACAGACATATCATTGCCAAAGTACTCGCAATCCTTGGACATTCTGTTGTAGTCTCGTGCAATAGCTTTTTGAAGGTTGCGCAAATTTGGTCCAAATCGACTTTTGCCATACTCTGCAAATTCTGGTCGCATGACAAAGACATCAGCAGGCATCATGTCGACAGTGACTCTCCCAGTGATGATATCATCCTTTAACAGCTTCTTAGCCTTGCTTTGGGCCCATGGTGTCTGCGCCGTCGTCTTTTTCTTCCGCTGTTTGGCCATCGTGGAGGTTGTTTTGTGCCGATCGAAGTCAACAGCGCTTTCAACAAGTGTTGAAAAAAGTGTTGACTTCGATTCAACAGTGTTGAAAAGTGTGCTGGCTCTTTGTTGAAAAAGTGTTGACTATTTATTGACAAAAATTCAACAGTGTTGAACCATGCTCTGGCGCTTTTCAACAGGTCGCCAAAATTTTCAATATGACGCACAATTGCCTAGCAGTCTGGACTTCGCCAATCGCCAAAGTCAGTTTTTGCGGGACTTTCCAGGCACGATCATTTCTGATTTCTTGAGGCAAGTAACCTCACCCTTACTGTAAAGAAAACAAAAGAGTGACAGTCGTTGGTTCAGGGTTGGATCAACGCGATCATGAATTTATCCATCAGTTATTAGGTGCTCAGCCTTCTTTCTAGTACCGGTAGGGTGTCTGTCAACCAGACCAGCGGGGGTTCGACTCGATTCTGATTCGATTCGATCGTTGAGCTCTGCTACCAGCACCTCCTTCGCCCGTGAAGCAGCTTATTGAGGACTCCAGATGCAGTAGTGATGTCTATCTTTCTTTTTAGCTCCAGCATCGGGATGCTGTCGTGCAGCTCGATCTTGCGGATACCATCATGGTGCACTAATTCGCAGCACCACCTCGGGATCCTGTACTGTATCAAATACTAAATAGATACGATATTAAGGAGCGAGGGGGGCTAAGCTAGCTTGCGTGTGCACAAGTGAGGGTGCATTTTGGTAGGGGGGACACATTTTGGAATATGGGGACCAATTTTGGAATGTGGGGACCAATTTTGGAATGTGGGGACCAATTTTGATATCACGAAACCACCTGGTGGTACCGGTACGGGATGGCATTTCAAACTCGTTTCAAACTCCACTACTTATCCACTTATTTTTTAACGACGAATAGATAGGTTCTACCGTATGATGTACATGTACCGTACAGCGTAGCACGTATCGGAACCGCGCATTCAGGACAGTGCAAGGCAACAGCAAGCAAACTCTCGTCTCATTCTTCATCTTCATCATCATCATTCCAAAGGAAACAATGGCTCCAAAGAAATACTCCAAGAGCAACCAGCGCGCGATGCTGACTCGGTAAGCCAAGAAGAAGCTAGAAGAACTTGACGAAGAAGTCCTCGACGAGACCACCAAGAAAAACGTCGCTGGCGACGTTCTCGATACGACGACAAATGGAAAAGAAAGACGTCGGGGAAGTCCTCCTTGACGAATCGAAGACCATGGCAAGGAAGGCGCTGCCAAATCGGATCGCATACCAGTACGCACTGGAGAGTTGGAGGAAGGCGCTCTCGAAGAATCTGTTGATGCGGCCGTGGCTTTCGGAAAACTTGACTACACAAAGATGACGGAGGATGAATTCGATGCTGCAGCCACTGCCTCTATGCACAAACTTCAGGCCAATATGGAAGCGCAACGCAGCATGGACGCAGCTACAATTGACAGCAAATATTCTTGGATGCTTGATCTTTCCCTTGACGAACTGGTCGCGAAGTACGCACCACAAAAGGGTACAGTAAGTAGGCACATAGGCGCAAAGCCCCCGCATAATCCAAACGTTCCTCGGGGCTCTGACCCTTGCATGTTTCCGGTTTCACAATTGCGTTTCAACGAAGACGAGCGTAGCCGGGACGATTGAGCGGCAGTCACAACAAAAGAGGTCTCCAGGGCAGCAGCATCGGTTTGGCGCATCTCCCTTGTAACCGTACGAATACAGTGAATAGAATATATCTTGCAGACAAGGTGTTGGCTTCGACGGTCGCCGTTTATAGTAGCTAAACATCCTCTCTGTGTGCTCATCGTTTTTGGTGTGGCTTACGTTCAGTGCGTGAAATCCTATTCGAGTTGACTTGCTTCGCCGCGCCAGGAACAGATAATACATCTAGAGTAGAAAGCAAGGGATTAGTCAGGATTATTATATGTGTTGTTCTAGCTAGTCTTTATTTGCTACACGCACAACCACCTTGCCTTTTGGGTGGCGACTCTCTTGCACCTTGAAGGCCGCTCGAACTCCTTCTGTTGTAAACGGGAAGGGGCCTTTGGCATCAACCACTGCTTTCAACTTCCCTTCTTTGGCTAGTTGCAGTGTTCGCGTCATGACATCTCCAGTGTCTGGAATTGCCATGGTATAGGTGAACTTTGGCAGCGACCATCGACTCCACATGCGACTAGAAACTGCCCTGCCCAGAGAAGGAAAGAGAAAGAGTGACAATCCTGCCCAAATACCATGAAGCTCAAAGATGGGGGTATCTGGTGTTGGCGTCCAGAATCGTCCTCCTTGCGACGCTGTCTTGACTATGAGAGGCTTCTTCTGGACAGCTCTTTCTACAATCCTTGGCCACGCCCCTGCGGCCAAATCAATCACAGTATCGAATGGGTCCTTTTGGAATTCTTCCATGTCAAACACATCTTCCGTTTTGTAATTAATTGCACGATCGCACGATATCGGTTCCTTCAGCAAACGGTCGGGATCTTCCGAAACACCCACGACGAAGCTTGCGCCCTTGCGACGGACATGTTGGCACAGGTGGCTTCCCTCACCTCCACCAGCCCCCAATATCAAGACCCTTTCGCCCTCAATAATAGGATCAGCAATCAGAGTAGATGGCGTGGATCCTGCCAAGGCAGCAGCTTCTTCAGGAGATACATTGTCCGGCACTTTGCCACATATATTTGAACCTACAACGGCGTATTCGCCAAGGGCACCTCGGGGTCCATCACTGAAGCGAGCTGCCACAACGTCGCCCAACTCAAAGGGAAGGTCGACACCTGATGGCATTTCCACAACCTTTCCACAACAGTCACCACCTGGTTGCGAGGGAGGCATTGATGTAAGAAAGGACAATGCATTAAAATACTGCTAACAAATCACACAAGAAAGGTTGCTGCCTACCGGGAACATAGGGAAAGGAAGGAGGCCCCTGAAGTTCACGGGTCATCCCAGACAAAACCCGGCAGTCACCAGGGGCCAGCGCTACTGCATAAGTCTTGATGACGATATGAGAAGCTTGCTTCTTTGCAGGTAGGTCGGCCAACCGAGGCACTTTGACGCCTTCTTCGACCATGAGCATTTCATCGATGGCTCCATAGTCCTTGCCTTGCACTGCAGTCATGAACTCTGGAATATCAGGGGCAGCAAGGGTCGGAGAGCCGCCCCTTGCTTTGTCGGCATTACTGGCACTCATTGTCAGCGTAGCAACGAAATGAAGCAATAGGTTTACTCTTTTCAATCCCAACATGGATAACTCGAAATTGGTGTGTGTGGTGATATGCGGTGGGTTAACAGCGGGAACAAAAAGCAGGAAAGATCCAAAAGATCGCAAAGTGGCTTGAGTCGTGTGCATATCATTCCACGCACCCAACAAGAAACCCCTTCAGAAGCCCGTTGTTTTGGCTTTGACCCCAGCCAAGCAAGGCTGAAGCAAAACTCTCATCACGGCGTCAAAGTCACATCCGTACCAATAAAAAACAATTCGATCTAGATCTAGCTCTAGCTACCGTTATGGTCTACCGTTATGGTATCTTCTGCTGGCTAGAGGCCGAACAGTGCGTGGTCCTACTAAGTTACCTGTCAACTAGGCCTGCCACCAATTCTCTGGGATACAAACAGTAGTCCATCATCATCAGAATTGTTGACTCGTTGTCGCGATAGGTGTCCAAGTCCCATTCGGCAAAGCTCTTGTACTCTTCCTCGAGGGAATTCAGATCCAACATTTCCACCTCAAAAACTTTATGTGCCAAAACAACGCAATCAAGCATCGTTTGTGAGGCCTTCAAGTCATCAAGTTCATCGTCCAGTTCCAACATGCGTTCACAGAAACAATTTGCGGCATGCAGAGTCATGGGATGTTGGCAGTCCAACTCATGGCACAACTTGCGAATATTCTTGCGTCGTCGTTCTACAACAGGGTCCACTCGTGGTGGTTTGCGTGGCGTCTTCTTATCGCGGCTGCCTGCAGTGGGTGCTACATTCTCTTCTTCTTCCTCTTTGTCTTCGTCAAATGGCAAGGCTTGCTTCAGACATATCGTCTTGACGGGTGGCACATCATAGTTGGCAAAAAGGCTGGTGGACATGTGCTCCAAACACTGTCGTGCCGTCCACCGTTCCTCGGGATCTCGTTGGAGTAGCTTGCGTACCATCGTCGGAAAGGGTTTGTCTTGTGGTAGTTTTTGTAATCTTTCTTGGATTAACGATTCTGCCTGACTGGCCTTGACGGCTTGCAAGGTTGATTTTTGCAATAGCTCCAAAAGGACCACCCCCACACTCCAAAGATCGGCTCGGAGGCCATACGGTTCGCAGTCATTGACTTCCGGGCTCATGTAAGTTGCAGTGCCTGCCTGACCCGTGTGAGTTGTCGGCTCGTCTTCATCCTCTCCCAGGGGCGGAAAGGAATAATCAGAATTTCCAAACATGGTACCGTCAACAATCTTGACCAACGAAAAGTCAATCAAAACCGGTTTGATTGTGTCATTTTCTTCGTCTTGAGCCAGCATAATGTTGCTTGCTTTGATATCACGGTGCATGAGTCCATTTTCATGCAGATAATTTACAGCGGATAGAATGCCATGGGAAATTCGTATTTTGTCGGCTCGTTTTTGGATCAAGGGTGATTGAGAGTCAATCGCCTGCTCCAAACTACCAAGGGGATACAGTGGCATGGCCATTCCCAAACATCCCGAAGTTCCTGCACCAGCTTCGTCTTCGTCGTCACAATAGTCCCCTTGGACGTCCGCTATTTCCACAATGTTGACATGTCCATTCGATTCTCGCAAAAGACGCAGTATGGATATTTCCAAAAGAGCACCCAATTCCAAGGTTTCGTCATTGTCTTCTTCGTCGTCTGGAATAAAAAGCTTCATGGCAAACTCTTCGCCATCATCATTATACACCGTCACCACACTGCCAAAACTTCCCTCGCCCAGTGCCTGGGTCCGATGATATGTTGCCAATGGCAAGCTTCCAGAGGACATGGTCGACAGATATCTTTTGGTCCACCAAAATGTTTGCTGGTTGTACCGATACATTGTACTGTTGTGAGAGGCCGATGCCATTGGTGTTTCAGAGGGAACTAAGTCACGCATTGTGAGTCACACGTCCTTTGCTTCAGTAGATGTCTGCAAAGCTGATAAGCCATCGGCATCCCTGATGGTTGGCTTGGACCTTGAACCTTGAACTGGTTGGATGCAATCCAGCTTTCATGCTTGGCTTGGTGGGCAACGGAAGAAGGAAGAAAGCGAGGGTCCGGAACATGATGTTCCGGAAACTGTCCACAGCTGCCATCGATTGCCCTCTCCAGTTGCCCCCAGCCCAAGCCCCTCCGAATCGATTGGACCAATGGAGAAGCGTAGATATTTATTTGGTACGGTACAGTACGTACTACGTACACCCCGACCCGAAGGTAACCTAATAAGAAACATGGAAGCGAGTACTCAGATTTTAGAAACAGATACTGAAATATCACAGACTTGTAAGAAAACTTCCCAGTATTGAGACCTCAAAGCACAAGAAATACTACTATTAATAGTCTGACACCATGAAAATGCTCCTAACTAACTTGTGATTAAATCTGCAAAATTTTCTGCCTGATGGTAGAGACTGTGATCACCATTTTTACTTCATCCAAAACAACTAAGAGTCCTGAGCAAGCTGGACCCAAAGGCCCAGGTGCGCTGCGTGTATCCAAACACTACCCTGTTTGATCTAGAAGCTTAGTAAGAAAGTCTTCTATAGTCTACTGAAATTGGCTTGTTTTGTTAGAAATAAAATGAGTAGCAAAATAGGGCAGTTGGGTAAGCTAAGAGAAAGCTCGAGTACTGACACACAGTAGGAAATTTCTTATTGATGCGTTTGGAGTGTAGGAGACTGTAAGAGTACCTGGTAGCTATTGAGCCAAGATACCAGTATTGGGACCTCTATGACTATGCATAAGTGCCAGCTACCGCTACACCGCTACTCGACTAGAGAACCAATCAGACAGCGAGAAAGGTGGTAGAAAAGAGCTTAGAAAAGAACCTCTCCGGTTCCTCATTTGGCTACTGGCTACTGTCCTTATTTCCTTTTCCTGTTTTCAGTGATGGGGTTCTTATAGTGTAACAATGGACAATCAACAAAGAATACACTTACTTGTAGGACCTTTTAATGCTCCTATCCTCTCACGTCAGATCATCATCTTTGACTCATGGTTGTCTTGGCTCTGTCTGGTTGTCAGCCATCCACCAATTAAAGGATATTACTCCTCTTTTCCCGAACTGGTCTTCCCTTGAAGACCTGCCATGATTGATTGATCGATTCCAGGACCCTGTTAAACCAATCTTCCTATGGCACCTCAACGATCACGGGGGGCTGGAGAAATCCATTTACATGCCATCTCAGCCACCTGTAAACCATGACCAAGACAATGGTATACAGTGCTAGGCGGTTAACATTTTTAGAGAAAATTTTTATAGAGAGTGGAAATAGTTTTGAACATGGCTGCATAGTGGGGCCTGGGATTGCATTGATTTTCTCCATCCCCCTCAAAAATGCCTCCCAATCAACAGCAAACTGGCCGACAATGACTGCTGAGAATTCCAAAACGCGAACAAAGTTACATGTAGTCGTCCCAAGAGGAATAAAAGAAGTGGGTGATTGGTGGCTTCCCTTTTTTTCATACAAATCACAAATCATTGGCTGCTGTTCCGTTTGCCCGCTTGACGCTCTGCCGACGTTCGCAAATCGGGCCCTTGGAAAGGAGGGAGGTTGACACTACTTTTCCTATCTTTTTGCCGACCATTCATAGGCCCACAGTGCCCAATCATTGACGCCGTGTCTTTCGCTTCTTCTGCTTCCTCAACGGCTGCAAACCGAGATGCTGGGTAAGATTCGCCACCATCGCTCGGCACACAATCTTCCTCTCCAAAGTTCCTCCGCAGCTTCCAGCTACCTTCTGCCTCGTGTCGACGTGATTGATTGACCTTTTCTTTTTCATTTATTTTCTACCCATGATGCCTCTTCTAGCCCCCCAACAACAACCGCAACCCAGCACTACCTCTGGTAACAACTCGCCTTCCGGGGTAGCGGATCGAAGGTACCACATTGCCATGAGCTACCAGGGCAAACCTTCTGATCTTCCGACCATGCCGGATGCTGTTAAGTCTCAGAGTATTCCGATTTCTGGGGTTCATAGGACGGCCTCAGAAGTGCAGCTGTGTGAAGATGAGGCTTTGGCGGACTACCGAGACTTTGTGGTCTACTCTCGAATTGTAAACGGGATATCACGCCAGCAAGATCAAAGGCCAAGCCGCGACTTGTACTTGCGGCAGGAGAACGATAGGTGCTTGTCACACATCATGTCGACACGAAATGGCAAGAATGAAGAGGCTGTTTCCAGTAGTAAGGACCGTAGGACACCCTTGCAGTGTCTCTCCCAGCACATTGCTCAGGGGATGGTGGACGACTACTTCTGTGGTGAAGACCCCCCTAGTAACGGACCTGCAGGCTATTTCAACGAAGAGGAAGAAGACGACATCTTTTCTTTGGAGCTCTGAGCAGGCAACCGGTTGCCTGCATAATGAATGCCCTGTCAACGAACCAACCACGCTAGCTACGGTCGGCAAGGGCTAGTGTACCCCAGCCAACCCAAGGACCAACACCGCTAATGCTACACATTTGAATTCATGAACGCAACTAGATCACACGCCACGCTATTAGGTAAATTGAAGCTACTAAATCACACCACTTTCCATGGAACATGGAACATATTCCATGACAATACCAAACGTAGGCAGCTTCCGGGGCTAGCTAGTTGGGGTGCCTAGGGCATTCAGTGACTCTCGTTATTGTTGCTTGTTGTCACCATTCCCTCTGAAACTAGGTAGCAATTGCCTTCTCATGAGGCAGGTCACCCCGGCTCCTTTGGGCTGCAGGGTTGAGAGAAGTCACTTTGGATGCAACAGTAACCAGTCCCTGGCTGATTGTTCATCCAGTACATCTAAGGGTATTCTTGCTGTCAATCGGAGAGCCAATGAGCCAGGACCGTACCGATAGCTTTGTGCTCGTCTGATCTTGGATGTTCAACCATTCAGCACCAATCAGCCACAGCTGGTTCGAAGCCTGCCTCCAAGTTGGCCAATGGCCCAAGCGGTTGCCGCGAATGGTGTCAAGATTCAAGCCAGTGAATCCGCCAGCACTCGGCTAGCCAAGATTCCACCTTCCAACGCATCCAATTCATTTTTTCCCTGGTTCAATTATTGTTGTTGTCTCCTTGCTACCATTCTCGCAACACACCCATGCATTTCCCATTACTTTGAAGAGAATGCAAAGAGAGCAAGAACAAAACAAGTCCAGACCCGCATTCGAGGCGCAAGTTTTCGTGGTGGTTGAAAGATGGTGCGTTTATTGCAACAACAAAAAGACAATCAGAAGGGTGAGAAGCCAATGACACAGGCATTGATAATCATGGCCCTTTTATGGAGTGGGGGGAATCTAATCAGCCATGGGAAACGGGTCATGAAGTTATCTTTTGGGGACACTGTGAGGCGTCATCTTGAAATTGAGACAAATCAAACAGCAGCCTTGGATGGTGTGAAATCTATTCTCCAAATGCATTATGATCAGGCATCTGCTGTCTTGAAGGGGGCATTTTCTAAATCCTTCAACGAGACTAATCCTGAGGCTTTGCAGAACTACAGGGAAATAGAAGAAGTAGATCACGCCAACACTACTCATTGGTGCATCATATCCCCCTCCAAGATGCCAGTGCTTGCAAAGTACTTTTGGCATTTCCCACACTGCATGGAAATGACTCTGCCATGCTGGTCCTGGTTTCGGTCACAACATGCTACTAATGATTGTGGATTTGTCCTTGTGGGAGGTCTCAAATTTGATTTGCTGGGAAACAACACATGGCAGAATCAGCTTGTTACCAAACACATGGGTTGTAAGGTTAGGCATGTGCCCAATGAACAATCCATCTCACGCAATGAAGGAGTTTTCCACAGCCCAAATATGAAATTCTTGAGACCCAAGTTTGGACACCGTGGTTACTTGCAAAATCCTGACGATGCCCAAGCATTGAGAAGAGTTGTGGGGGTGGCTGATGCTTGGGTGGAATCACAGAAGGGCGGTGGGAAGCCACTTCAGATCGGTGTCATTCAGCGAACTGATAAGAGAGTTGTGACCAATGTGAATGCTGTTGTTGAGGGCCTGCAACAAGCGCTGCCTGAAGCCAATATTACAATATCCACATTCAGTTACCCAACTGTGCTTGAGCAGGCCAAATGGTTTGCTTCCAAGCATGTCATTGTGGCTGCCCATGGAGCTGCCCTTACCAATTCAGTTTTTGCAACCAAGGGAACCTTCATTCTTCAGCTGCACCCTCCTGGCTTTTATTGGCAGTTCTACGACCCCTTGATTGAACAGAGTGGAGCAATTGCCCTTGACTGGTACAAAGGGGATCATCCAGTGGCAGAATTTCTGACTGTCACAGCAAAGAATCCTAATCGAAAGAATCAAATGCAGCATCAGGACTTTGAAGTTCCTGTTGATGAGATTGTTGACATTGTGCTTGTAGCATTGGATAAGAAGGAAGCTACTCCACTTATGATGAAGCAATCTACATTCTACTGAGTGATCACCAGTGTGAGCTTGGCCCGGAAACCCCCTTCCAACAGATGGACCCCTATGGTATGCGAAAAAGGCTTGGTGTAGTTCCAAGAAGCATTCCAGGACTGAAACATGTGGGAACAGGTGAGATATTGAAATCCCAAAGGGAACGCAGCTAGGATGCACGTAGCTGTCAAGCCAGCTACATGGTCTCTCCAGAGATGTTAGAAGGTAAAGAGCAAACTGGGTATGTGTAGCGGTACCGCGACAAGACAGAAACACCGTTCCCCGCAGGCCAACGTCGCTACAATTTTCCTGGTTGACCAGGTCAAAGTGTTTTTGCACAGCCCTGCGTGCCTTCCGACGCCTGACGCCGAGATCTTGGCTACCGGTATGGTTCCCCCCGACAGATCCTGCGGATTCGTTGATCTCAGCCAAGTGATCTAAATAGCTCGATGTCAGCATCCGCAATCCCGCGTCTGCTTCGGTGGCTCCATCCTCGACCTAGTAGAAACCACAGTCATATTCGATTCTTCCAAAAACTTTAGCCAGGTCCGAGTCCTCGCCGTCGTCGTCGAGAAGTTCCCTCGGAATCTTCTCGTGTGCTGCGTTTATTCGGTAGTCATCGGCCGAACAAGCGGAAAGGGCGGCACTACTGTCGTGTTGCGTGTCACTGGGCACACTTTCTGCTGGAGCTCGGTGCTGACAGTCGCTCTATTTCTAGTCAACTGCATCGACGCTTCACGCTCCTGCTGCGAGTCGAGTCTAGTGCTTAGTGTGACCGCGCCCGGTACGGCTATGCTGTGTGGACTGTCGTCCTCTCGAAAAGGGGGGAAGAAGCAACCTCTTTGCCTCGGGTTGGCCACTGTCACGACGTTAAAAATACCGGTCGCACAAACCGAATACATGTAAAGCGCGAGCACCGACGCAGCTCCTTCCACACGCACATAAGAAACAATTATCTAAAACTAGTATCGCTGTTCACAAACAAATTCTACCACTGTCAAACAGATGATGCACAACAGGGCCTGTCCATGTCAAATCTAGCAACTGGCATCATCTGAAACAGCGGTGGCGTCTCCATTCGGAGTCTTCGTCTTTGCAGGTTCTGCGTCGTCATCGTCATTGGAATCGGACTCTTCAATTTCCGCGCCGACGCCTTCAAGAGCATCCTCTACCACTTGGTGCAGGGCTTCTTCGACAGCGTTGTCCGCTTCAGCCTCTTCCTCGAGGGAGGGTGTCACTTCTTCCGCTTCCTTGTCCAGAAGATCATCCAGATCCTCTTGCTTGACTTCTTCTGGTAGCGCCGCCTCGTCGACATCAGGGTCGTTCTCCAAGTCACCATCTTTAGCGGCCTTTTCCAAAGCGGCGGCATCGGCCTCTTCGGCACTCTCGGTGGGAATTGGTTCTGATTCGACACTTTTCTTGGAATCGTCAAAGGTCACACCACCCTTTGTTGGCGAAACTCCACCAGTGTTCAGGGAAACGTTCTCATCTCCGTCGGCCTTGTTTTCTGCCTTTTTCTCTTCTTCTGGGTCACCCTCGTCTGAATCGCCTTTCATCTTTGGTTCGGCAGTTTCGGGAGCTTCGCCAGTTTCAGTTTCAGTCGCAGTGGTCTCTGGTGCGGGTTCGTCTTCGTTTTCTCCGAGGTCTTCCCTTTCGGCGGCCTTTTGTTTCTTGATCAATTCCTCCATGTCCATCGCAGGGGCGACCTTCTTGGCGGCAGCGGCTCCGACACTGACGGCTGCGAGGTTTTCTTCGATTTCATCTTCACTGTCTCCGAGATCAGACACATCATCGAAAATCTTCATATCGGCACCACCGACGACCAATTGATTCTCGTACTGCTTCATCTCCTCCTTCCAGGCCTCATCGAGCGCCTTTGCTTGTTCCTTGAAGGTACGGTATCCCTTCAAGTTTGGATCTTCCTCTTCGACTTGCTTCTTGAGAGAGATTTTCATGGGTGGTCGCGAAGGTCCCTTGAGGAAGGTAGGCATGGATCGCAATCCCTTGGGCAGAGCCAGGACTGTCTTCAAGCGTTGCTTGCCAAAGGTATGACTGGCCGGATCTTCTAGTTTGGGGATGAGCGCCAATTGCACTTCAAGGGTTTCGGCATACATGATACCCATGGATTTGGAGGTAGCCTCCAATACCATGATTCCCATTTCCCCATCTGCCAACTTGTTGTCCAGCCATCCCTTGCATCGTTTGACAAAGGATGAGATTTCGTTACATGATTTTTTTGCCATAGTATACTGTTTTTGAATGGTAAGCATACGATGCATGTTCCTCAAGACGGCAGCTTCCATGGCGAGTGCTTTTTCGGATTTGTGTACCTTGATTCCTTTGCGTTGGAGTCGACCAGAAGCTCGCATCATGGCCTTGGCATACTCATGGGAATTCATACTGGAGTTGCTAAATGTCCAGATTGACTTTTTAAGACGAGCGGTCTTTTTGTCGAGGTTTTCTTGCTCTTTGTCGCGTTGAAAGGAGTGTTTTTTTGCGATGCGGTCGCCATTAAGCCGTTGGACCTTCAAGTTCTTTCTGAGTTTCTTAATCTTCTTTTGCAGCTCTTTGATATCTTTATCTTTCTTAATTTCCTCCTTGTAGGTTTCATGAATCTCTCGGAGTTCTTCCTGTTCTTGACGGTTGGCAACTCCTTCCTGGACCACTTGGACGGTTTTCTGGACCCATTCTACTTCCTGCAACTTCTTGCCCCATCCCACCAATAAGCCTTCGTCGTTCTCGGCATCTAAATCGATCTTATCTTCGTCAGGAACTTCATCGGCGGCTGCATCCACTACGCCTCCTGTACCCAGCCCCATGGCAATATCCAGATCGCTGGGTTCTCCAGTGGCTGCCTCTGCAGCCAGCGCGTTCTTCTCGGCTTCGTCTAGATCAAGGTTGTTCATGGTAGCTGCCAAGTTCCTCTTCTGGATCTTGCCCTTGACCCAGCCAATCACTCCACCCGAGCCGCGTTGTTCGGCTCTATCGGCCGGTCCAACGACGCCATCCTCTTTGCTGTGGTCAGGGCCTGACATGGTCAAATGATAGGATACCGATAGGAGAGGAGAGAATAGTAGTGTCGGTCTCTAGAGCTTTTAGCTAGATAGAGCAAAAGAAAGACTTCTACAGCTACATGTACTTCTCCAATCCTTGCGACAGCGGATAATCAGAAGCCCTGGCCTGTAGATAGATGAGTACAGTTGCAGTAGCTGAGATGAGTTCACGGATGCGTTTGCATGCGAGGTGTATCTTTGGGAAGGATCTTTTGGCTCCTCTTGGTGCACTGTGGCCAATTCTGTAGTCCACGCAACCCACTTTTTCCACGGCATGCGCGAAGGATGACTTTTCCTCGGCGGTAATGACTATTTGGCCGGACGAGAATGCAGCCTTCACGTCGAGCCTCATCAAGCTTGCTATCGTTGGCTTCCCCGCGACCTTGGTTGGTGACAATGAGTGAAGTTGGATGCAATTTATTTGTCTTTGTGATTCGATTCTGATAGAAAATGGCTTCAAGAAGTAGTCGCTAACTTGTACCGTAGCTGGCGGCTCTGAGGTTGCTAGCACCCCAGGAAGGGCGGCATGAAACTTTACCCAAACCTTCCTCGATACAATCCCCAGCTCTTGCAGCGACAGGGTCCATTTTGTGGGTAGCCTCGCCGCTTTGAGTTAAGTAATGAAAAGCGCAATCCTTGGCCTGTTCTTCCTACATATGACCTGTGAAACGGGGGTTAGAGTACTAGTAGGTGGATTATCTATGGAAGCCAGCCTAGGCCAAGCTTAAGCAAAGAACAGTAAAAATTCAGGACTGGGTTCTGAGGGATCAGGGGCGAGAAATTGAGGACCATTATGGGGGGCAAAGGGTTTGGCTTTGCGGGATCCACGGAGACATAAAAAATGGACCTGTTCCTATCTTATCACCTACACACTCGTTAAGAAATCGAATCCTTGAAATTCTTCTCTATCATTATCGGCTATATGTAGACTTAGTAAGGCTTGATCTGCTCTCACGATTGTATTGTATTCTATAGTGAATTCAAGCGTCGCTGTAGGAAGAAGACCACAGCCATAGACTGAATTATCTTCTCACTAATGTCTGTGATATTGGCGGTTTTGTTCCAAGTGGGCCAGGGCAGTCTCGTTCAAACCGGACACCAGCCGCAATCGTTCCCATCGTTCGCGCACGTCCATGTGGAATTCCCACTTGCTGGTAGTGTAGCGGCGCCGGGCTTTGTCGGCTTCATAGTCTCTTACACTCATATGGATGGGTCGGCCGTGGCTCCAATCCAATGTCAACGGAAAGTGGCCTTGGCAAAAGGGATGATCCCCAAGGGTGACGGCATATTCTTGCAATTCTACCGAGTTGAACCGAACATGGCGACCACGGCTCGGTTTGCTGGCTCCTGGGAAGCTGTTCGTTTTCCTGTGTTTGGTTATCAGATTTTGTCGATCAGAGTTCGCCTTGGGCTTGGGAGGAATGCAGGGCGCAGATGTTTGGCAGGAGGAGGAGGGGGATGGTTGGTGAATTGTCGCCAAGTTACTTCCTATCTTGATGTGGGAAGTGCGCTTTTTCTTTTCATGGACGCCTTTTCGGTCGCTTTCTGTTCCGCCGATGGAAGCATTGGTGAGCAAATGGGGCTTGTGTTTTCGGCTGATTGAGCAGTATAGTAGCATGGTTCTTGGTTGCTTTCTTCAGGATTGTCATTGAATGATCTGGTTGGTTCAGTCTCTGCCTTGCAGTTCGAATGGACGACGACTGACTGATTGCTTGTTGTCTTGGTTGTGGTTGGGACTGGGGATTTACTTGGTTGTTGTCGTTGGTTCTTTGACTGGCATCAGGACTTGCTCTTGTTTGTTCTCACTCCAAGAAAATTCGGTTGCCACCACGTACGTTTGAAAAAGAGGCTTCGCCTTCCATTGTGGAAGCATTCCCCGCACGATTCGATTGAATCATTCGATTCGATTCGATTCGATTTGAGTCGAATGATTCGATGCTCTTGTGTCGTCTGTTGAAGACCTCAACAATAATTGCAACCTCGGCATCTCGGCAGCTCGGCATCACCTTTGGTTGGCAGACAACAAGGCAAGATGGTGCAATGTACAACTGTATTTGCCTTTGATATGGCACCTTCGTCTAATGCCAAGGTTGATAGAAAAGGGCTTGCAGCCGCTGCTGACTTGTAGCTGGCGGCTGGGATGATGTATTCACATGTCGACAACTAACGACATCCTGACGCAGACAGTACCATGACTGTCACTCAGCTCGGATAGCTTGAGGACGACTGTCACTTGACAATGATTCCATTGCTGTGTACCACACTCCAGCGGCCGAACTTCGTATCTAAAACAAATCTTTGATTGCAGAAAATGACCCTACGAATCGGATCTGGATGGGTTAGCTAGCTAGAGGGAGAGGCTTTGCCTCGCCTCTTGTGTCACAAAATCAAAAGTGCTCGCAATTTCTGCACCAAGGAAGCATGACGCCGCCAGCTGTGTTCATGGACCCACATGAGAGACCTCCGCCCATGTATACAAACAATCCTGCCGTATCGTCGTTGCTCGAGACGGCAGAAGAGGTTGCTGCTGCAGGCGCCATCACCAGCAACAAATATGACAATGGCCAAAACAACAACAACAAGTCCAAAATCCTGATTGGAAACATCCCAAACCCTACTGTTTCTGCTGGTAGCTCTGTAGGAATTGCCAATTTCGCCGTCATGAGCAGCAGTGGTAGCATCAGTCTGCAGTCCAACAGCGAATCATCCTTTTCCAGTGCTTGCACAACGGAGCGAAAACGTCGTGTTTGTGTCTGCAAATGGGGTGATGCCTGCCAAGTCATGACGACCGGATTTGCCTGCAACAAGAATGATCCAAGAGGAGCCTTCGTCATATTGCCATCATACGAGGTCCAAATGATAACGTCTTACTGCAAATATCTCAAGGAAGACAACGCGGCGGTTCCTTTGGATACTAGCTCTGAGGACGAGGACCCGGACCCAGATGACTTGGAAGAGGAAGAGTTTGTAGTTGCAGTCCATCACTTTCATCCCACGGTCATTGAAAAGTTCTTCGATTCCTCTCGGGAGGCACGCTTAGAAGATGACCTCTTACCTATGCCAGCTAGAACCATGACTTCAGAACAACGCGCTACTTTGGTTGGAATCTCCAGTGACAGTGATCGAGTAGTGAATCATCAAACTGGGGCTCCCACAGGAGAATTCTGGGTGGTTCCGTCCTATCCATTTGATCAAGCCCACGCAGACCTGAAGAAATCCATGGGTGGCATGCGACAGCACGACGTTGAACGCTGTGTCCGTAGAATGAAACGAGAAGCTCGACGTCAAAAGTGGGAACATATTGTTGACAAGTGGGAGGCTGTCAGCAAGCGAAGTGGCTTCCACACTTCAGCTGCCTTGTTGGGGGTGCACTCTCCGACACCCACCCCCGGACCCGCCAGACATTCCCTGCCACCAATCATTACTACAAGCAGTGCTCTCGCGAGCACGACAAACGTATGCAACGCAAAGTCTTCGCAGGTTGTCGGTCAGCAGGCAGCTTCCGATGTTGTGTCATCTGACTTGCTCTTCTTTGGAGCTTCCGCTAGTTCTCCAGCTACTAAAGACTACGGGTCTGAATGGGACGAACCCGAGGAGTTCAAACATAGATCCGTGGCGACTGCTCCTGGACCCAACGTTGGGAAGGGTTCTTTGCCTGATTGGGATGCAGGAGACCAAGTGAAGCGAGGCTCCCTCATGACTGCACAAGAAGTGCTTGAGTGCGAGTTTGAAGAAGAAGACGATGAATCCGACCTTAACACAACTGAAGATGCTGAGGTCGTCATAGTGTCTGAAGCAGACGAGAAGCCCGAGGTCACGGGAGCCCCTCAAGCCTCGAGCACCAATGATCCTAAAGCCGAAGGGACATCAGGATGCAAGGAAGATGATGGTTCATTGTCATCGATCTCGGCAGAAGGCGCTTCGCACGAAGTCCTGCGACACCAATCTGTGGCAACTAGCGACTCCTCCCCTACTGAAGCATCGGCATCAACATCCTCCACCTCCTCTTCGTCATCCTCCCAAGGGCTCCTTCTGTCGGAACCCAAAGAAATGGAGAACGCTGTTCAGTCGGCTATGAAGCCCTCTTCTGTTCTTGACACCCACAACCAAAGCCACGTCGAGAAAGTGTCGTCGTCTGTCAAGAGCCGTGCTGTCCGTGTTTTGGCTATGGGCATGTATGGTGCTTTTCTGCTGAACCTATTTGCAAAGGCAGTGTATTGCATTGGAGCGCTCAAGGCTCACAAAGAGGCCTTTGCATGATGAATTTGTCGGGACATACACGTTTAACACCTATTAACATTTAACGCGATGTTAAAGCTTTTTTCACTCCCACATTTGGAGAGTTAAAGAAGTGAGTGTTAAAAATCCTTTTAGCGAAGAAGAATTTTAACGTAACCGATTTGGTATTTAACACCATGTGACATGGGCTTTAACACTCCTTCCTTAAGAAACGTATGTTAAAACGTCTTTCTCCTATTGTAAGTTTAACGTTGCAAGATTGACAGATTTAACATACCCTTCTAAGTGATTTAACACTGCAATCCAAGTCAAATTTTGGTTCGGTTCAAATGCGGTTGATGCCAATCGAAGTCGGCACAATGACAAGACTGTTGACTATTGTGCCGCTTTCGAAGGAAGCATCTGCATTACAACCATGTGCCAAGGCAATGTTAACCATGTAGACGAAGAAATGACAAAAATTTGGCTGCATGTGCCGTCGGTTCTGATGATTTTTGGTTGGTTTGTCCCGGAGAATGGAAGCGAATTCGGGTGGAATGGCCATGCAGTTTGCATTTGCTGTCACGATGAGCAACCAACTGATTGCAAGGGCGGTTGATGTCCACCGCGGCATCCCTGATTGGATTGAGTCTGCCTTCAGCAAGACAGATTGCTTAATGGCTGTGGGAATGGATGAGGAGTCCGCAATGTCTGAAACAAACAGGAGGCATATGTTTCGCCTATTGAAGGGCACCGAACAATCTGAGGGCCCACCCTATCATCCCAATACCGAACAAGACAATACAAATCGTGCTGTCTATCTTGCCGGTTTGATAACCATCAACCCCGCTACTGGGAGGAAAGCTTCTCTTGCCTATGTCATGAGGCTGGCTGGATTTCCCGAATCAAGCTGTGGCCCCGGAAAGAACTATGTTCGAGTTTCCCGTCGAATCACCGCATTGAAAAAGAAACAACCCACAGCGTCAAAACCTCCTGCGGCTGCGAAAATACCACCCGCTACTACCAATTCAAAGCGTCCACCAGCTCCAAGCTATGCATCGAAGAGGCCAGTCAATGAAATTCAATTGGAAGAAGATACATATTCCGCTCCAAATGTGCTTTCTCCCTTATCATCTGCATCTTTGTCTGATCGACCTCCTGTCGCAAGAAAGCCAAAAGCAAGAGATGCTCCTCTTGTCCACGATGAGGTGTGCTTTGAATATTACAACACACCACCCATCTTTGATTATTCTGAGACTCTCCCTCCGCCATTTTTGAGTCCGATGTCTGATTCCTCCTCTTCTTGTGGATCTGTAGCCAATGTGTCATTCAAAGATGCTAAACATCGGCCCAAGAATATCAACAGCGCCATTTCACATCTAACAACATCGCAAGTGCACAGGCGAACCACACAAGCTGCTCAAATCGAAAGGCAAACCGACCGAGAGTTGGACAACATTCGAAAGTCCATGTACAAGGCAGGCACTGTCATTTACAAGTCAGTGACAACAAAGGAAAATACCCTGCACATTTTCAAATCATCTGAAGCAGTGGCCAGTGCTCTCAACCATCTTATCGGCGTTGACATGCTTTCTGGGAGGGAACTCGCTGAAGGTGTGCGGAAAGGTAGAGTCAATCAATCTCCACCGCGTCTTGGCAGGAAGGGAGACATTCCCCAGGATGTGTTCAAAGCGTTCTGCAGTGCTGTGTTCACTCTCTGTGCCATTGAGCAAGCTAACTGTCAAGACAGAATGAATCGAGAGCAGCTGAAAAGTTCGGTTGGGGAAGTGCTTAATGAAATGAGGCAACGCAATGGCCTCGACTCAATGAACGACTCCAAGTTTTACAGTCGCATTGAAAAGGAAATAAGTCATCTGCAAGATCTCGAGAAAGCTGATACTCGAGAGTCTCTGCGAGTGTTGTGGTTAACGTATCAGGCACAACAAAAACATTACATCAATTGGGAGCAGACGGCTGTCGAACTTGGTTTTGCGCGACAACTGCTACCAACAGAGCTAACAGAGGACGTTGGATACATTGTCTGGAAGGAAGAAGCACTCCATCGTGTGCTGCAATTCGATGAAATGAACATTGCTCTTGATGGAACGGATGATTCGATTGGTGGCAGGCAGTCGAGGATTCCGACATCGAAGGGAATGGGAAACGCCGGAAAGGCGGCCGAAAAGAGTGGAGCTTCCATGACTCTTATGTTTGGAATGAGTTTCGCGAATGAAGCTTTGCCGCCGTTGTTCATTTTCCCAACGAAATCTAAGGATCCCAGCAACTACAAGCATCGCGTGGACTTTGCTGCTTCGCTTCCGCAACTTGAAGCGCAGTATGGTTTTAACAGGCTTCGACGCCACAATGTTCCTTTTGCGATGAATCCAAAAGGGGGGATGACCAAAGAGATGCTAGAAGCGTTCTTTCGGAAGTGCGTGCTCCCATTATACCCCAATGCAGCTGATCGAGAGGGGCAAAGACTCCTTATCAAGATTGACTCTGGACCAGGTCGCAACAACCCAGATTGTCTTCGGAAGTTGAGAGCAAGAGGGGCACATTTGCATCCGGGCCTGCCGAATGGAACGGAGGTAGGCCAAGAATGCGATCAACTCTTTTCTTTGCTCAAAAAGCTCATCTACCAGAACAGAGAAAAGCTTTGGGGCTCACGATATCGATTGGAAGGAGAGAAGGCTGCTCTGTCGATGGCCGATGTCGGAATGCTTGTATTTGGCGGGAGTGCTACAATGATAGATGGTACAACCGTGGAGCTTGTCGATGCATTCGCACAGGCCACCGATGCAGAGCACATTTCAGCTGCAGCAAGAAAGTGTGGGTATTGCCCAAGCACGAGAGTTGGACTCAAATCTGCAAAGATTAGACATGAAATCGTTGAAACTGAGGATGGAGATATCAATGAGTCTGCCGACCCTTATGGTTGCCTCCTTGATGAGTTGGAGCAACAGAACGACGACGCTGTTTCATTCCTTGAAGATAACGATTACAACCTAGCCGACAATCTTCGACGCCATCCAAAGAGGGTAACATCGGCTCAAACCAAAGGTCGGATGTCTGTTGTCACCGTTCCAAACACAAGAGAGAGGCAGGACGCAATTCAGAGCTGCTCAACAGCCGGCGGATGGTTTCAGGCAACTAACGGAGGAGCTCCAATGACTTGTGACGACGCTTTGATTGCTTATGCCAGGAAGGATATGCTTGTGAGAGCAGAAGAGATGGAAAAGAGAAAGAAATCGACAAACAAGAGAGTGACAGTCGACTCGGGTGTCAAGAAGATTGTTGACTCCAAGCGAAGCCACAAGGAGTGGCTCAAACCTGAGCTGCAGACAATGATAAAGTGGAAGCAAGGACTGCATCCGACGGCGCCCTACAACGACAGCGTTCAAAAGAAGAAACAGGAGCTAGTGACATTGTGGGAAACGAAATACCAGCATCTTGAGGTCAACAATGATGATGATGGTTGGACAAGCGACGATAGTGAGGAGCTGCAGCGCCTTCGAGATGGAACTATTTTCGATTTTGATGCTGATGTTGGATTGAATAATTGCTTCGACAACGAAGACGAGTTCTTGTCGACTAGCCTGCTCACTATTGACAAGGCTCGTCGCCGCAAAGTGTTGCTGGGAGTCTTTCAGTCGATGGACAAAGATGAGTCCGATGATATTGTGGCCGAAATCATGTAGCAAACTATTGTTGTGGTTACTGTAGCTTTATTATAAAGAATAGCTATCTATCATTTGTTTCATTGTCTCGGCGTTGGTGTCAATTTATAAGCAACGATGGTGGCAGTTCTTAGATGCTGGATTTGATTTCATGATCGATGGGCAGCTCTTGAACGAGCTCTCGATATTGAATGTTGCCATCAACAACAGTCTTGCCCCAATCAACACACTTCTTTAGGACCTTGCCTTTGTCAACGTCGGAGGTGACAGGCACGACAGCCTCGACTCTAACAACATCATTGTCACGTCGCTCTCCTTCAGAATAGCTCAAGTTGATTCCCACCACTCGAACGGAAGATGTGGAGCCCTTCATTTTGTTAACTTCTGTCGCCCAAGTGGCCCGAGAGCTAAGGTTGACATCCCAGCTAGAAGCTTTGCCAATTGGTTTGCCGTCCTCAGTTAGATGCCCAGAGGCTTTGAATCGATATTTCGTAGAGTTGCCCCACCGTTGAAACTCCAAGCTAGTAGTGCACTTGCAAAAGAATTCAGTTCCATTACCAAGTCTCCAGAAGAACAAAGGATGGCGTGATTCGCCATCGTCCATCTTGCGCATTTCGGCAACAGGCAGGATCCGAAGAACTCTATTCCATTTGGGCCCTCCGAAAACAACAACCGCATCAACAAATTGATCGGCCATCGTCAGCAAGCTGTCAAGTTGTCAAGTTGTTTGCTTATTCGACTTGTTCGATTGTGTGGCCTGAACTCAAGTGCCTGCCAGCAACAGTCCAGAGCCTGCACGTTGCTTCGTTGCCCCCCTTTCTAGCACTCCAAGATTGAAGAAGTGTCGTCCGGGAACAATCCATCCGAGCTGAGAGTGTAAATTGTGTAGCACAGGGCTTGCACCCGATGAGAGGAAGCTTCTCTTGGAATCGAAGAGTATGCCGCAACTGATCAAATCGATGGGCTGTCAGTTGAACAACCGCGCGGTTCGCTCACACGCGGCACAAACTCTCTCATAAATCGACCGAACGACCAACTCGATCATCAACTCAACCAAAAACTCTCCAACAATGGCCGACGAAGCGCAATTCAAGTCTACGTCCTTCGAGATGACCAACGAGGCTCCTGTTGTGATTAGTTATGGCAATATCCAGGCCATGGGCCGCAAGATCCATGACGCTCTTGATGAGGCCGTGAACGAAGGAAAGAATGTGTTGTTGCTTTTCTTTCTCAAGCACAATGTTCTCTTTCCTACCCAGCGTCTCTTCTTTGAAGGCATCGAAGGAACTGTTAGATCCAGCTCTATGCAGCACCTCGAGATTATTTCCAACCAAGGCAACCGTGTTGTATTTGTCCAGTTTGTGGGAGGCGCAAGTCCCTTTGGTCTCGCTGAGGCTCTTTCTTCGGACGACGATGACGATGACAACGACGATGCTCCTGCGGCTGAGGCTGGCAATGAACCTCCTGCGACTGAGGCCCCTCCTGCAGCGGTCCCACCTCCTCAACAACAAGCTCCTCGCCGTCGTCATCAGCGCCGTCAGCGTCGCGTCCAAGATAGTGATGATTCGTCGTCGTCCGAGGGAGAGGATTTCGCCGGTTTGAGCCAGCTCACCATCTAATCCAACCAAACAGTCGACAACCAACGCCCCACCCAAGTAGCAGAGAGCCTGGTGTGTATAGCAGAGAGTCTGGTGTGTATAGTAGCCCCGTATTGGGCTCAAAACAGCGCCATCGTCTATCCTTTGCCGCCGCGGTGCTCTGTTTTTGTGCTGTGGTCGACAGCACCTATCTATGTCGTTAAATCCATTTAACACCGTTAAATTGCTTTACCCGATATTCTCTAGTAAACGGATGTTAAATGTTAAATCCCACGTTAAAAGGTGTTAAACGTGTATAGTAGAATTCACAATCATCCTCATTTTGAAGCTTTGATTTGGTTCTCACCCATTCTCGCTCGCTAGCTCAAGAAGTTCGGTCGAACCATACACTCCTGGCCTTCGGCTGAATACGAATGATTCAATCCTGTGGCACTAACTTTATAACTAGATACAAATGGAAGCTTTTGTCTCCCGGCGCAATGACAATGTTTGAAACGAGCAGCCTCGGCCTCAGCAACACCCCGTAGCCTGTTGCAGGATTGCCTCGTGGCTATTGCTGGCTCCTACCGTACTGCTACCGTACTAGCTAAACATTGCCTCTCGCCTCCACGCAAAGTCAAGGCACCATCACCCGAAACTGCATGCATTGTAAGATGGCAGATGCATTCGGGAACATTTTCGTGGCGTCATTTGTCTCCACAAGAGATACATTTTACGGTACCGATTCGTTTCGCCTAATCCTGTCAGAGAGCTACGTCGACTGATGAACGCCAAAGAATGCAGAAGTTCCTACTATTACAATGCCGCTTTGAAGCTTCAGCCACCGTATCTGGCTCGGTGATGGAGAGACGGAAGATTCTTGGTTGTCGATTATTTTGTTACCAAATCGAAAAATTCAAATCATGTGCCACCGCAATGCCCTTTCCGCTCTTCTCCTGGGCCTAGTCATTTTTCTTGTCCGCCAGTTCTTGTGAAGCTGGGATTATCATCATGATAGCTCCAGCTGCAATGGCAACAATTAGAAGCAAGCTCCAGGGCAACCAGTCGTAGAATCCGTTTGCGATTTGTAAGAGGAACCGTGCTCCTCTGACACCCCCCGATTCTTTGGAAACAATAATACCATCCTCAATGGCTGTCAGGAAGGCCTCGAGAGTTTGCTCCTTGTACGCAGGATCTTGCCAGTAAAGTCGGTTGGGTACATCCATGACGAATATTTGCGGCAAATCATCTTGGCTGATATCAAATTGCTGTAGGAACTTGGACCATCTAACTCCATCCATCCATCCAAAGTAGTACTTTTCACTGGTCAACCTAGGAGGCCCGTTGATGGCGAACGATTCCAAATTTTGCTTGAGTTGATTGAGTTGTGCTTCATTGCCAACATCTGCCACCCCCACGACCAAAGGTCTTCCCAAACGTCCAATTCTATGTAGATTTTGTGGCCCTAGCTCTGTGAGACTGGCCACGTTGTTGACTTTGACGAATTCCCATAGCGAATCAATATCAATGGTGGTCTGCTTTTCCAACATACATCGTGAAGGAACACCGTCTTCGAGACGGCAAACAAATCCTTGCTCAGTTGCAACATCAGAATCTTGTTCTCCGCCTTCATTGTCAGTAGTAGGTTCAGAGGGGGCGGGTAGTCCTGTAATGGAACTGGTATCAACAGAGGTAGCCAATGCAGCGAAATGTGCATCTGCCATTTCCTTGCGTGCCACCAGTTTGCATACATGGAGGATGGGGCTTTTTGCTGCCAGTTTGTCAATTGTCACGGTGGATTCAGCAGCATCTGCCAGGGCTTTGGAAGCTGCAGGATCATGACAAAGAAAGGAAACTCCATGTCCATACGTCTGATCCTTGGTGTACTTGTGGGCTTGCTCGACGGAATTGAGCATGGTAACGACAGGTCTACTGAGGCGATCCGCAAAAGCCACAAAGTCTGACTCCTTTCGTCCCGAATTGTATTCGTACATTTCCCCGTCCATGGAGAATTTTAGGGTTGGATAGCCACGGACCTTGTAGTAGTAGTTGGAAGAGGCGACAACACAGCCACCATTGACGAGATCGGGTGAGCAAAACAAAACAAAATAAAAAATCATCGATCGAACAAACAAAATCCAATGTTTATTATTTACCTTGAACTCGTCGCACAACTTTTTGTCTTCAGTGCAATCAATTTTTCCAATGGCTAGGCGCCCCGTCACTTGAGGAGCCACAGATTCCAGGACAGGAGCGAGACGTTTACAATGCCCACACCAGTACGCCGAGAACATGTACAAAAAGATGGGATTGGCAGGGTCATTGCTTGCTTTTCGAAAGGTAGCTTCGTTCAGTTTCACAAGTGTCTTCAAAGGCTGACCTTCCACATATTCAGCAGTATCAGCGGCAGCAGCAATGGCAGGATTTGGTGCTAGTAGCACTACTAGTGCCACAGACAGCCAACAGTAAAACAGGCTGCGGTAATTCGTCATGGTCCTCTTTTGTGGTCAGGTGGTGGGAGCGAAGCCTCAAGTCACAACAATCGATCCGTTGGAAGATTTCCGTCCACCAAACCGAATCGATTCATTCGATTCGATTGCCTTCGATTTACATGTAATTCCTCCCAGCGCAAAACATCCTTTTAAAATGGCCATCTCCTGGCAAAAGCCTGTTGGTTTCAGTCTTTATGGCCATTTGATGCAATCTTGCAAAGAGGAAGCCCGGCAGAAGTCAGAAGAGCTCAAATCTTCATTGGCGGCAAACCCTTGATGGCAGCAAGCAATGAGTGTACCATTCTTTGCCGTATGAAGTTTGACGAAAACTACGCGGCTGCTGAGAGTAATGGCTGCTGGGATTATCATTTATTTGCCCGTCACCGTGCGGTTTGTCCTGACTTGGACTATTTCATAAAAGTATATTATTTGATCTTTGTTTCTATAGTAGCTGGTTAGCACAAAGCTTGAGGTAACAGTAGTACCGTACGGCATGAGCGACAGTGGAGTCCAGTCGAGTCTGTGCTTGTCCAGCTCCCCGGGAGAAAGAAGAAAGAAGGGAAAAACGATAGAGGTATGGCCGATGCCTTCATTTGTCTCTACAACACTATACAGAGTGTATGTCACATCCATGCTTGTACGGCGGATCACTGGGTTGCGCCGACGACAGTTGCCCTTTCGTCCCGCCATTACTGAAGAGATTCGATTGTCATCAATGATTGGAACTGGTCTGTTGGCTACCTCACGAAGGGATGCCAAGGACACTCTGTGAAAGGATCCACTACTAGCGAGATTGGTACTCTTGGGACGGTCAAGTTGTCGTTGGTACCGTAATTATTGTCATTATTGATGCAACCGCCTACAGCATCCTGAAACGCAAAAGGCGTCACCAGACTGTGGGAAGTGGAGCCATGCACCGTTGGATTGTCGTACTCCGTCCCGGTGCATCCTTTATCTTTTTCTTCCAAATTGAGTTGTCAGTACCGAGGTGACTATTATTGGAACTAGCTAGTAGTACTTTTTGAAGTACCACTAGCTAGAATGGCCCAATTTGTAGTTCACTGGCTTCCGATACCACGGGAATTTGATTGGGAAGCTTGCCGGATAGATTGGAAACCAGGGCATAGCCCACACACGCCACCAATGCATAAAAGATAAAGTTGGATCCCGACTCGACCAATACCCGAGGCATGGCAAAGGGCAGTCTTCCCAGTAGCGATGGAAAGATTAATAAAATATCCAGCACCAGAGCTTGTTGCATGTTGAATCGAATCGGCCGTGGTATTTCGGGGTTTCTCGATAGAAAGGAGAGTCCAATGAACGCCAAGAATTGCGCAAATGGAATGCTAAAGTAGATGAACTTGAATGGACCCAGTAAGAGGGTATCCGCCATGCCCAAGGGAGGGAGGAGGGTAAAGAGGAATCGCCCGTAGCGATCGCCATCCATGAGGGGCAACAGGTAGGGGATACAGGACACAATTCGATCGGATCCTTGGATTTCTGCTTGATTGTTGTTGTTCATCATGGAGAGACCGCCGGTATTAGAGATGGACCTGGTTCTTCTTCTCGTTGTCGTGCCAGACCATGACGGTGATATCGATGTGGTCGAGGCAGCATCTTGACACGAAAGATTCGGTCGAATGGTTCTGGCTCGTATGCTTTTGACGAAACCTTCACAGCAATCGAGCAGCAGCAAGAGTAACGCAATGGCGAAGAGTGAACGGAGTAAATGGATTTGTAGAAGCTTCATGGTCAGTACGATACGGTATGCCCAGCCAGAGCCGATGAGAGAACCTGTTTGTCTGTTGGTGGAAGGTATAGGAAGATCCAAAGAATCGATTCGATTGAATTCATAGGAGCTTCTGCATTCACGAGTGTGACTGACTCTCCAAAGCCAAAGAACACCGACGCGTCGACCATGACGCAAACCGCCGCAAGGGGAAAAGCAACACAACAAGCCCTTAAATCTTCATCAACCCCCGAGGTACACGTATTATTAAAATACATACATACGTACATGTACCGTAGGGTTCCCAGTGATCGGTATTTTGAGTCAGTCGTAGCAGGTTTTAAAGTGGTTCCAAAATTGGTCCCGTCAGGTCAAAATTGGTCCCGTCAGGTCAAAATTGGTCCCCAGGGGTCAAAATGTCAAAATTGGTCCTTCCAATGATCCAAAGAAGCTTCTTCATTCACGAGAAACACGTGACTGAGACTGACTCCAACCCGATGACACATCGAGGGACCGACCATGACACACCTGCCGACGAGGACACAGGAAAAGGGAAAGCAAACCAGCGCAATTCTGCTGAGCCTAGTCTGCATGCTACCAGTACCAGTGCAGTACGAGAGTTCTAACAGAGCCACAGCGATACATGCCTAGTAGTCCACTTGCATGTCAAAGGACTGGCTAGCTACTCTAGAGAAGTGGAAGATTCGATTCTCTGTTGACAGATCATTGGCCGCCTCCCAACACATACGGTACATCATACGGTAGTTCGAAACGAACGAGACCAACCATTGCAAAGTGCTTCGGCATGGTAGTGCAAAGAACATCAAGTCGATCCAGCAACAATAACAACAAGACAGATACTACTGATCAAGCTACTAATTCCAACACCAACACCACCATGTCTGCCGACCAAATATTGTCCGCCCCCTCCGATGCCATGATCCAACTGATCGCTCCAGATGGATACTATACCTATTTGGGAATAGAGAAACCGTCTGCCTCTGAAATTGCCGAAAACATTACTTCCTCCTTTATTCCCAAAAAGAATTCTCCCGAAGCAGCAACAACCAACAACAAGAACAGTGGAATCGATCAAGACCAAGTCAAAAAGTCATATCGCAAGGTGAGTTGGTCAGTTGGGAGAAGCTTAGCTAGCTCCATTTGATTTGGCAAATGTATTTCTCATTTCGGCAAGTGAATGAACGCATATTATTATCGCAGCGCGCCTTGAAACATCATCCCGATAAACCAGGAGGAGACGCCGACACGTTTCGGGTCCTGAATCGAGCCCAAAAGGTTCTCCTCAATCCAAAACTACGGCAACAATACGATATCTTGGGATTGGATTTACACGACGAGGACGACAATCTGCATCATGCCGGCGGCAATGACGACGACAACAATAATGACGAGGAGGAAACGGGGATTGTGCAAGAGATTGCTACTATGGCCATGGCGGGACTAATGCATGTGGCTGTACGGACTGGTGAGTACATAATATATCCAACAAAACACACGACACGACGACGACAACAGTCCGTCTCATTGGTCCTTTCTGTTTACCATAGCACTCATGGGTCTTGTATCGGTAGTGGTGGTGCGGTATACCCTCTTGGTCGTTCCGGCCTTGCTGTTTATGGGGTATGTTGGCTTTAGCGTCTTTCGGGCATCTCAACTCCCCGATGGACACCCCGAAAAGGTAATACCGCACGCTGTGGGTGGTCCCATTGCCATGGGCTGTGGGTTGCTCTGTATGTACTTTGGACGAACCTACGACGAGGACAACAACAACAATGCACACTGGACATGGCTGTTTTGGGTGGGAGAATCCATTGTCATTGGCATGTTCATCTTCAATTCCACCGCTGGCAGTTTGGCATCCTCCTTGGGCCGTCCGCTTTATGGCGGCATTGCTGTCTTTGCCATGCTCGTGGCGTTGTGGATCCGTGGCCGCTTTTGGACCTACGTGACAATACTGTTGTTTCAAGGAGCATTGCTGTTGTTTGTCGTCATGGCCTTTCCGGTCATGGAGATGGTTCTGGAAACAATATTGAATGAGAAACTTCGCAAAGTTGGGGATAAAGTGCGGGCACATCAACGACAGCTGGAAGCTTATTATGCCAACAAACTGAGCGAGAAGGGTAGCTAGCTAGTTTTACTACTGCTAGAAACTAAAAGTGTACACTTCTGTACTGTTATTGATTGCTAGGTTCATGGAGCGCTGTATTCCACTTTCTCAGTTGATTGTCATGTCGATACGTACATTGCAGAGACCCGGTGGAAATGGAGAAACGAATTTGACTTGGCCATTGCTTGAAGGTTTGGTCGGCATGGCTAAGTATATTCTTTACGGGGAACCAGATAGAGGTAGATATCTTACTTCTTGTCCTTTTGCGGTGCAGCCAGGCCCAACAGCACCCAACCTCCAATCATGAGCATTCCACCTGTTGGAAACATTTAAAAAAAAACAAGAAGTTAGCAAAAAGCCTACCGTACAGGATCACTCTTGAAAGGCTCGTGGTATCATTCATGCATGCATGAAAATGAAATAATACGTACCAATGGGAGTGGTGGGTCCGAGGACCTTCTTTGGTCCCACACCCAGACACAATCCGTAGATGCTACCCGAAAACATGAGTGATCCTACCGCCATATATTGTCCTGCCCGCATCAAGCTTTCGTCCTGCCGTGCTTCTGCCAATGCCGCCATTCCAATCAACGCCGTGGCATGGAACAATTGATAAGCGATGGCAGTTCTCCAGCTTTCGAGATGATTTCCTTTGGAAAGGGTATCTTTCAGTGCATGAGATCCCAAGGCACCCAACGCCACACCGGATGCTCCCAAGACAGCAGCATACTTCTGAAGTGATTCCGAGGCGCTTCCTCCCATGATGATTGTTCAGAGCGGGTCTATATGGATCCTTTTGTTAACAAGGAACTGTTGTTGTCTTGGTGTGTTGCTGCATGTTACATGTAGTTGTTCTCGTCGCTTTCTTCGGCTTTTCCCTTTCATCCAGTTGTGGAATTGATCCCAGTAGATTCATATGCCCCCTGGGTCGTCTCCGTTTCCAGTACTAGTTTAACTTGTCTACTAATACAGGATAATGGTGAATAGAATCGAATGAATCATGTGGCTTATATTTAGGGTTTAGGTTTTGC